AGGGCCAGTGTGGCACCTCAGATCCCCAGGGTATCGGGATGATATAAAAGCAAGCGCTTTGCGGACTTTTCTGCCAGATTCTCCTCCACACATACCCCACCCACAGAAACACCTTCCTTTTAACACCTGCAGCCTTCACAGCTTAAAAAAAATATTTTCCCAATGGAAAGCGAACCAATCTTCAAGCTGTTCCTTGCATATTAAGCAGACATCTGTTTACACTACCAGCCAGCTTCAAGGAAATGTGTTTTCCTAGGGTGTTGGCTTATACAATTTAAAAAACCCAAAGCCTGTGAGAAATTGATTCAAACACTGAGGCTTGCTCAGCTTTTCTCACTGCCTCTGGCCCAACTCAGCTTCCTGGCTCCTAGGCTCCAGTTGGCCACAGCTCAGATGTCCTGGGCCTCTCAGTGCCAGGAGACAGACACATTCATGCTCCCCCCCTTCCTTGTCCCTCTGAGAAGTTTTCCGGTAGATTGCAGACTACCGTCTCAGGATCTCAACCTTCCACAGTGGGCTTGCCTGACTCCCAGCAGGTGGTAAATCGGTGTGATTTATCATTATTTGCATTTTTAATTTGAGGTATTTTAGGCCCAGAGAGTTTTTTTTAATGTATCTTAAAATGACAGCACAAATATCGATACATAATTCATCATCTGTTTTAGGAATCCATTGATACACAGGAAGGTCATTAACACTGTAATGAGATGAGGCTACAGTTTGATCATCTTGCCTCCTACTCTTTCCCCCGCCGAGCTCTAGGCTGAAGCACATGACGCCTCGCAGCTGGCACTGTACCAACAGGAAAGCCTCCTCAGCGGGCACCTTTGCCCTTCTTCAGGATCATCAAAGGCTAAGTGACGGGCACAGTGACACACTGTCTTCCTCCTCTGACTTGGGAACATGGCAGCAAAATGGGGAGGAGCAAGAGGGTTCTGGCATCCCACACTCTCTCCTTCCTTACAGAGCTTTGATGTCACTCAGTAGTAGTCTCTCCTCACCCCTCCCCACTCCTTCAGGCAACGCCATCTCCAAGACCCACTCTAAGGAAATCCAGGAACACACACACGCACACACACACACACACACACACACACACACACACCACACAGTATAGCACATAGTCAATCCCCAGTTATTTGGTATATAGGCTTCCTTCCGCCACTGTGCCAGCTGGTTAGTTTTTATCAACTTGACACAAATTAAAGTCACTGAGAAGAGGCACCCTCCCCTGAAGAATTGTGTCTGTCAGATTGGCATGTGGGAATGTCTGTAGGACATTTTCTTGATTAATGATTGATGTGGGAGGGCCCAGCCCACTGTGAGTGACATCATTGATCCTGGGCTGTATAACAAAGGTAGCTAAGAAAGCCAGAGAGAGCAAGACGGAAACAAGGTTTTCCTATGGTCTCTGCTTCAGTTACTGACCCGGTTTCTGTCTGGAGTTCCCACGTTGGCTTTCCTCGATGTTGGGCTGTGACTCAGTGAGGATGGACTGTCAGTAAAGCTGACACAGCCCTGTTCTCCCCATATTGCTTTTGGTGGTCATAGTGCATATCACAGCAACTAGAACACCCACCAAGCCAGTGGCCTTCCTTAGAACTACCCAAATTCACAATCTGTATCAAATGCCTGCATTAAATAGATGCCCATCTACAAGAAGGTTAAACCGCATACAAAGCAATCATACTTCTCAGTAGCTAGGATGCTTTCCCTCTGGGGAATTCCCATTCTCTCCATCAAGCATTTCCAGAGCGCCTACTCACTCACCAGGTACCACAGAGGCACTAGGGAGGTTCTAGTGACCATGTCAAATCTCCATTTTGTTCTAGATCCAAGACAATTAGACTTAAGACAATCCTTGAGCGGCTATGTAAGCTCCTTACCAAAATAACAGCTTGTGGCATCTAACCACCTCCGGTTATACTTCTTACTAATGACTATGCTTGATTCTGTTAATACATTACAATGACTCCAAAAACAACAGCCAAGGCAACTGAATTTGGACTTATTATGTACCATGTTTACTGCCCAGGAGAAGCCACTCTAGAATGTTTTAAAGGGCATGAAGGGTGACATATGACATATTTCCAGTGTTCCTCTGGTATCTCTATGTATTGGATGACATCTGGTCATATTCATAATGTGGCCACCTAACCAGCAATGAGTCACCCCTTGAAAGCAGGGCAGACTCACTGAGTGCTTTGCAGAGCATGCCCATGAGTTCTTGATTCTTTTGTTGCAATCTGACTTCCTGCGAAGCTGCCCTCTGAGATTTTTACTACTGGGAATGCACGTGCAGAGATCGTTGAATGGGTAGTAAGTTCTAAAGGAGCAGTTAGGTTAATTTATAATGGGTCATAATTATAATTATCCTAATTCTGAAATGTGTTATTTCACAGAGCTAACTAGGAAGGTGTTAATAGCCAGTAAATGTCCTTCAGCTAGTTCTTAACTCTTGAGTGAACCTGTGCACTGTAGAATGTGTTTCTCACTGTTTGTAGCTTTCTTAATTGTCCACAATTTTCATTATTTACTTTTGAAATCAGATACAATATTTGCTTTCAAAAGATGCTTTCAGAAATCTTCCAGATTTAGACATTATGCATATGACAGACTTCCGATTTCACTAATAGAAACAAATGCCTCAGATGTTTTCCAAATGTTAGTCTGGCATTGCTCTATTTAGGCTGGCATACTCTCAGGTGGGAGGTAAGTAGAGAACCATGCAATTATCCAGATAATCTGATCCAATAACATTTTTTTTTTGCCTGCTTTTCCACCTTTGGCTAGAATTAATATCTGAGTTAATTGGCTTAGCCATTTCTGCCACACAGCCTCCACAATCCACTTGAATACTGGGCACCAAACAAAGCTCCCCCAGCATTTGCTGGGCTGTCCTTGGCCTCAGGAGCCTGAGGTTACTGGACAGACACCGGAAGAAGTTACAGCCGTTTCTGAGTAGGTTCTTTGGGTTGCCCTGCACCTCTGTCCAAATGAGGCCAAGAGCAGTACAGGGATCTGGGAAGTAGCTCCAGTTCAGTGGGCAGGGCTGAGTTGGAGAATCTGAAATAAAATATGCAGAACTATAGGACTTGTTTTGCACAGCCTATGTGTGGCCTTGCACCTCCCTGTTAGAAGAGCTCAGCTATCCCTGGTTTGTGGGACAAGCTTCTCCAATGGACAGGCATCTTTGGTCTCATGTTGCATAACCGAATTGCCTCTGTCTCTGGTTCCAGTTTTCACCCTTTAATTCATCTTCCTTTCCTGTCAAATTTCCAAATCTCTATCTGTCATCTTTGTAGTCCTGTAACCACTAAGGGATTAAGTAGTACCCAGTCCACTAAGTTTTTTAGTGGATCTTTATTTCCTACAGGATAACATTCAAAGTGCTCAGACTTTGGA